GCAACTCCCAACCTGCTAGAGCACAAATATAAAACTTGCTTAAAATATATTTTTGGAATGCAAGGAGAAACAGAAGAAAATCATGGAAGTAGTTTTTGAAATAATGTGGGTCTTACTTTTAAATTGGTTTAAAGTTTTCTATAATTTCAGTATTCATATTATTGATGTGATTCTGTGGTGCTGAGAGTGAATTCCATGTTTATATATAAGGGAGAGATTTCATAGATTTCATAGACATTAGGGCTAGAAGGGACCTCGGAAGATCATTGAGTCCAGCCCCCCTCGGAAGATCATTGAGTCAGCTGGGGTCATAGGATCCCAGCAAGATAAATGTCCAATGTCTCTTGACGGCCTTCAAAGTAGGTGCTTGAACCACCTCTGGTGGCAGCCTATTCCAGACCTTGGGGGCTCGGACAATAAAGAAGTTTTTTCTTATGTCCAGCCTGAAAAGGTCTTGGAGGAGTTTATTACCATTCGACCTTGTCATCCCTTGGGGTGCTCTGGTGAACAAACATTCCCCCAGATTTTGGTGAGCACCCCTTATAAACTGATAGGCAGCCACCAGATCACCCCTGAACCTGTGCTTTTCCAGGCTGAAGAGTCCCATAGCTCTCAGCCTTTCATCATAAGGTCTGTTTTCCTGACCTCTGATCATGCGTGTGGCTCTTCTCTGGACTTTCTCAAGTTTCCCCACATCTTTTTGATTTGTGGAGCCCAAAACTGGATGTAGTATTCCAGCTGCGGCCTCACCAAGGCAGAGTACAAGGGGAGAATGACATCCCGGGATTTGCTTGAGAAGCATCTATGGATCCAAGCCAGCGTTTTGATCGCTTTACTAGCAGCAGCATCGCATTGCAGGCTCATGTTCACCTTGTGGTCAATCATGACTCCCAAGTCCCTTTCGTCCATAGTACTAGCCAGCGTAGCCGCCTCCCCAGCGGAGAAAGGTGTGGAGGTTGTCCCGTGCCAACAGCTCGCTGTCTCTCTCACCAGGAAGTGGACTGTGGTCATGGAAGCTGAAGCCTTCCCGATGACACCAGTGCTGCAGTCTTTGGTTCACTACCTCAATCCCCCTCCCTCCACAGCCCGTAGCCTGAGACTGGGAGAATTGAAGAGAACACCACCTGCACCCCCAACCCCTTAAGCCCCGCTCCCAAATCCCTGTAGCATTACATGACCCAGCTGGGATTGCTCCAAGCTGTGTCATTGGTGCCCACATAGATAAGGAGCATAGGGTAGTGGTCAGTGGGCCGGAGGAGCTCAGGGATCCTCTCCACGATGTCTTGGATACAGGCTCCCAGGAAGCAGCAAACTTCCTGGGCTAAGGGGTCAGAGCAGCAGATTGCGCCCTCAGTCCCCCTCAGGATGGAGTCTCCCACGACAAACACTTTGCGTTTTGTCTTAAGGAGAGTGGGGGCAGTAGCTACAGTTGAGCCTGTGTTGCCTGCAGGAGCTGGCAGCTTGGCAGGCTCTGCTGGGGCTGCAAGAGGTTCATACCTGTTGCAAAGCTCCAGCGGGGTGGGGACCTTGGTGCGGCGGGCCTTAGGGCCCTTGGCCACCTTGGTGTATCCCCTTGGCTGGACAGAATGGGAGGTCCCCGAGTCCTCCCTTGTCTTGGAAGGAGACCTTGGTATACCCTCCGCCTCCAGGGGGAGAAGGGCCTGGCAGTAGGACTCTATCTCCTGCTCGCAGTCTCTGATGGCACACAGTCTCTGGACTGTGGCCTGGAGCTCCTCCAGCTGGCACACCAAAGACCTCAAAAGGGAGCAGACCTAACAAGGAGAGGTGGCCATGCTCCCAGACCCCAGAGCCTGAAAAAGTGTCAGGCAGCCCCTGCAGCCAAGGGCCAGAGGCTCCGTCTGTGTAGAGCCTGGAACCATGGGCTCTGTCTGGGTGGAGGCCAGTGGAGGCCTCTGAGGCGCCAGAGGGGGAGGCTGTACGCCCCTCATGGACCCTTGGGTTGTGATGCTTGCCCATCCGCATGATGCTGCTGGGAGGCCAGCTGCAGCTGGGACTGCCTTCCCTAGGGTGCACAGGCAGGGCCTTGGGCCCTCCCACTGGCTCTCCTGGGCAAACTCTGCACTAACTCACGCACCGGGCAGACAAGCGCGCCTGTTTGCGAGGCTCTGGTCGTGTGGCTCCGTGGCAGGGCTGGGCGAAGTAGGAGCCAGAGTGGTGCGAGACCCTCCTTGGCTTCACTCAGCTGCTTCTCTCTGCTGTCTGGGGTTAACCCCCTCCCACCACGGGCCCAGGTTACCTCTGGCTGTGCTGGGGGTCGGCAGGGTGCTCTGTGGCTGCGGGGGGTCTTCGGGGAGCGGGGTGCAGCAGGCTTGCACCCACACGTCTCTCACCACTCCTGGAGCCTAACCAGTTTTTGTTTTGGTTTGGCAAGCCCTTTTGAACTGCGTGCATGTGCAGTGGGCCCACCACTGGAACCACACTGCTCCCGGGCTAGGGGAGACCCTACACAGGATTTAGGAGACCCTGCCCCACCAGAGAGGGACCGGTAGGTACCCTCTCCCCATCACCTACTCTTTCCCTGTGGGCCTGGGCCAACCCTGACTGGGTTGTGGCCAAATTGAGTAATATACCCTAAAATAAAGTAATAATGATTCTATAATCAGTAACTTATTCTCTGTAACTGCTAAAGTGGCTGCAGAATGTTAAAAAATTCTCCTTAAAGATCAGTGCTCGTACACTGTTCCATGATGCCATCACCCTTTTGAGCCTTTGTTTTCAGTCTGTGGTTTTGTTCCTATTCATAATTTGTCTAACTCCTGGTCAATAGGTTCAAGCCTTGCTGTTCACCTACTTTAGTTCTTGCTAGACTAGGTTGTTTTCAGTATTGTATTGTTTTGAACCTTTTTTCCCAACAAGTAATATCAGACTTGCAGGTAAAGAAAATTTGTTTGTGTGTACATAAATACCAGTATCAGGTTTGAGTGTCCTGAGGCCAAGGAGGGCCTAGCGCCTAGGTTTGCCACATCCTGAGCAAGTCCTCTTACCATCTTCGTCTTTTATGGAGCTGCATGTTTCCTCTTTCAAAATCAGTTGTTAGACATGCTCTGACCTGCCTTAAGTTATGGGGGACTTAGGTAGCCTAGTCATTTCCAAGCACCAATTTGGGCTTCAGGGGGTTTAAAGAAGAGCTAGACATGTCAGGCTGGCCAACCTGAATTGCTTTTAAGCATGCTTGGTAGCCTGGTTTGGGTACCTAAGGATAATTTTCAGGCCAAAGTTGTGGTTGTTGAATAGGGTCATTTTTTACTCCTTTTTTGTGATTGAGGCACCTACATTCCTCCTAGGTTGTTTAGGCAACTGCCAGATTAAGATGTGGCCCTTGGTCTCAAATCTCTCCTGTGATTTATAAGACAGTGTTCTGACCGCCATAGTTATGTTCAGGGATCCTGGTTTTCTCTGTTTAAAAATTCTAAATACTTACATATTTTGACGTTTGATTTGGGGTGTTTTTTATCGTGGAAAATCAGAGCTCCTCTTGCGCTCTTCACTCACCAGGACGCAGGTCCAGTTGCAGTTGTCCCCCCACTGCTTTGTGGCACTGAACAACCCTGATATGCCAGTGCCCTGCCTCTGCCATTGCTCCTCACTCCCAAGCCCCTCACTGCCCTCCTTCTTCCCCCCCCTCCCCCCAGCAACCCCAAGTACATCCTTGCAGGCTGGAAGGCTGACAGCCTGCAAGGGGAAACCTGTGATTTCCCATGGTTTTCTCATTTAAAGAGGAAAATCTGCATTTTACTCCTTCAAATGAGAAAATACACGTTTTTCTGTAGCAAACAGAAAACCTGGATCCCTGGTTACGTTGAATGCAAAAAAGGACAGAAGCTTCAGCATTTACCAGAGGCTGCCTATAGTTCTGCATTCAGTAGAAGCTGTGGGTAACTTCTTTGGTTTCCTGTCCAGTAGGTTTTGATTTTTCTTCCCTCCCTGCCCAACCCTGAATTCCAACATCAAAAGTTGGACTTAAAGTAAAAGGAGTTGTTTGAGGCTTAAAGTAAAAAGATGGGGAGAGTTGTTGTGGTTTCTTCTGCATAGTTTCAATTTGTGGTGCTTAATTCTTCTTTTGTATCCATGTTCCAGACAATGTGAGGTAGCTTTTCAAATTTAACTTTTACTTTAGTTTTCATAGTAGTTACACAGCTTTATACTGAAAACAAACTTTTCATCCTTTCTCTAACTACTTTCCCCCACCCCAATAAATTCTGTGCTTTTTCATGCTTGCTTTTCTAACATTTCCTACCAAGATTCTCAACTACTCAGAGGCAGATGATATCAGAAACATGATGGATAGTGTTTCTATGCAAGTGATGGTCTCTTCAAGGGTACTATCTGATGTATAAGGGGACAGATCCTGAGGAAGCAAAAAGTGTTTTAACTTTTTTTTAAAAAATGAGCATTTTACACAACTCCGCACCTGATAGTAGACTTAGTAATCCAGAAGTGCAGACCTCATGTGAGAATTGTCTGTCAACTTCTTGATCTTTTGTTTTGATGGCACTAATATCTACAAAACTAGACAAGTATTGGAGAAACTTTTTCTAAGCCTCTTCCCTAAAAAGCTCATAAATTAAAACATATTGCAGTTTTTTGGAGCACAAAATAAAGCAGAATGGAATTTGAAAGGCCTTTTCCCTTGTGTGAAAATCAGGCTTTGTGCTTGGAAAATGAAGAGAATGGTCATGTAACGTAACGTAAATGGAAACCACCCTTGCTGTAATATTGTCCTTATCTAGGGACACTGTGTTATGGAATGCTGTCAGTATAAAAGGATTTTTTTTACTTTGACCTACAAGTAAAATAGGCAAACCATTCAGAACAATGACAGTGCTTTTTATTGGGATACCAGATGGACACTTTGATTTTTCAGTTGTTTATATATCCACACGCATGGTGCTCATGTCCTGTATGCATGTATCTCTGTATCTGTATAGATTTTTAAAACAATAATAATTTTTGTTTATTTTTTGTGTCCCCCCCCACAGTTTATTGTGGAGTGTCATGGGAATACACTTCTTCCCCAGTTTCTGGGCATGTACAGGCTTACTGTTGATGGAGTTGAGGTATATATGATTGTTACAAGAAATGTGTTCAGCCATCGTTTATCTGTTTATAGAAAATATGATTTAAAGGTAAGAACATTTTTTGAATATAAGTAACTGTTAAAGTAGCTGAAAATCATTAATGGAATTATTAAAGCTGGTTGGTTGTTGATATATTTTGCTTTTGATGTTGGTTGCTGGAAAACCTGACCACTTTATTAAATTAATATTATTGCTCAAAAGTTACATGGGTTACTTCTAAAAGAAAAAAAAAGCTTTGTGGTTAGTTGCACTATAAAAAAATGTTCAAGGGATGCCATTTTAGCTGTATTGTGCATGTTTTAAAGAAGTGGTTTAGAAGAGAGTTTGCTAAATATAACTAAGTCTAATGGTTGAAGCTAAAACTACAAGAAAAAATATGGTGATGCAGACCTCCTGACTGCTGCATGTCTTTGATCAACAGTGTGTTGATGCCACAGCTTATTTTACAGAGCTCTTTTTTTAAAGGGCTGTAATAGCATCCCTTTAGTGGTATAGACTAGAAATGTGCATCACTCACTTGGCTTTTAACAGTGGTATTTCATTCAGGTGCACATTATAACTGAATGTTACAGTAGATGACTCTTGTTGCTTGTACTGCATCAAGCATGTTTCATCTTGGTTCCAAAATGTGTTTTCCCAGCTCTCTTGTTTTGGGGCATCTTATTCTAACCTTATCCCCAAAACCTTCCTTTCTTTCTACACATTTTAGTAAATTTAGTAAATTTCCACATATTTTACTATGCAAGTATGTCCACAACTTCACTCCAAAATTTAGTTCTGCCCCATCAATTGGTGCTAAATCATAACTAAAAAAATGTTTATTGCATGTTAGACTAATGCTGATTTCTCAGAGCTGACTGTGGTGTGGTCAAGAACTGTCTTATCAGTGTCTAGCTTTGTTGGAACAGAGTTGGGGAGAAGGGAGAAGAGGAAGGAAATATCGCATGGCAGAGGAATACTTATTTTTTCTCTCTGATAGGGTTACCCACACCTTGCCCTTAAGTATACCTCTGGTAAACTAAATTATATGAGCAGTGCCTTGATTTATAGAATCAAGTTAACTACAAATAGGCACATTTTGGTGACCCTCCAGATGGGTGGTAAAGAATCAGTGAACCATCCCTTGGTTAAAGTGGTGAGAGGTGAATTACAAAATATTTTGGGAAGTTCAATTTGGATGCATATCTAAAAGTCCAGATACTTAAACAGTGATATCTGATATGTTCAGAAAAAGGTGTCATGATTACCAATATTTCTTGACCTGGTTGGAATTATTCAAGTAAATACTCTCCTTGTGGTGTATTCCTGTTAGATTAAATGAGTTTGTTGAAGTATGGTAATTACCATGCTCCAGCAGTCTCCTACATCTCGTATTTCAGCATCCCTGCACTTAAAAACGGTTGCAGGGATGTTTGAACTAAAGCTAATCGAATGAGCTTTAATTCAAGTGCCCTCACCACCATTTTTAACTATGAGGACATTCAAACATGAGATGCTGCTCCCCTGGAGCCCATGTAAAAGTGCCCTCAGGTGCTACCCTGTAGGCCTGTGCAACACTTCAGTCACCAATTCAATTCAGAGGAGATTTGGCCCGATTCGGCAGCCAAATCTTTGAATCCGAATCGAATCAGGAGACCCATTAAAAGGTCCGAATCAAATCTAAAGCCTCTGAATCGATTTGGAGAGATTTGGAGATTTGGATCGGCTGGGGAGAGGCAGGCACAGCCGGGTGGTTACAGGTTCTCCTGCGGCTCCTCTGGCTGTGCTTGCCTCTCCCCAGGCAGGGGGAGCCACGGAAAAAGCCCCCATGACTGCCCTGTCCAGCCCCTCCCCCTGCCCAGCCACCCCCACCTAGTTCTGGCACTTAAAAAAAAAAAAAAAAAAAGAAGAAAAGAAAAAGAAAAAAAGGCCCGCACTCACTGGATGTAGCAGGGGCTGTGGGGGCTCTGGAGCCTCCTGGCAGAGCCCCCCCATGCAGCCCCCGCTCACCAATCACTGCCCTGCACCTGCACCATGGGGCAACTGCCGCACGGGTACCAAGCAGGGGGGGCAATCCCTGCTGCCTCCCATTGCCCTGTGCTGCACAGGGGTGCTCTGTCACAAGTGCCCAGATGCCCTGATCGCCACTGTCAGAGCCGGTGAGTGCGGGGCTTTTTTTTCGCCAGGATGCTGGGGTAGGACTCGGCAGGGCGGGGTGGAAATCGGGGAGCAGGGGCTGTGCAGAAGGGTTCTGCCATGTGGCCCCAGAGCTCCCACAGCCACGGCTGCTGCAGACTGCTGGGGCTGGGCGGGGGCTGCATGGGAGGGCTCTGTCAGGAGCCCCCAGAGCCCCTGCTACAACCAGTGAGTGCGGGGCTTTTTTTTAAGTGCCGCTACTAGGCTGGGGCCAGGTGGGGGGATGCGGCTGGGGAGGGCAACCATGAGGGCTTGTCCCACAGCTCCCCCAACCCGGGGAGAGGCAGGCACAGCCAGAGGAGCTGTGGAAAACCTGCAGCTGCCCATCTGTTCCTGCCTCTCCCTGGCCGATCCAAATCTCCAATTCTGATTCGGCCGAATCAAATGGGGACAGTGATTTGAATCACTGAATGGAATCACCGTCGTCCGAATTGGCTGAATCCGAATGAAATACTTCCCTATTCGCACAGGTCTACTCCCCTGCCCTGTTTGCTTCCTGATTTCAGACAAAGCTTGGAAGTACAGAGGCACTGAAGTTTAGAGCCAGTTCTTCTTTTATTTGAGATGGTTGGTTTGCTCATCCATAGCCACCTTCCGCCACCTCTGCCTTTTGGGTTTTGGTCAAACCATTATTCCAAGTGCCTCCTACTCCTTTGTCTAAAATTAGACAGAAGCTGGATGAATTGTTAATCTAACACTCATTTATGTAGAGGAGCAGAAAAATTGGCGTGCATTCAGCATGCCGCATAATTGGACCTGTTCCAACATAGCCATAATTTCCTGACCTTTAAGGCATGCTGCAAGGCACATTTTAGGAGAGCTGCTATAGATGCATGTTTCTAGAGTAAAATGGGAAGTTGGGTTTGTTTTTTGAGCTGCTTAGTTACTTAGTGTTGCATGTTTGGGATTGCTGTTTTCTTTCTGATTTATTCCATTTTAAGTGTTCATTTGAAATGCAGAGTACTGAGTAAGCAGCTCATTTATATATGTGTTATCTTTAACTTGTAGTAGTGCCTTAGGGCTCTAGCCCCATTTTGTAGTTGGCACTGTATAAATACCAATTTTTTATTGGACCTGGGCCAAAAAAATTTATTTTATTATAAATTATAATAAAATAATTATTTTATTATTTAAAATAATAAAATAATTATTTTATTATTTTCCAAATTATTTTCAGGATGAACTTTAATCAAACAAGTTGATAGTGGCACCGGATGTATTGGAAAATATAGTCACTTCTTTCTAACTTGTTTTTCATTAAATGTTACATGTTCTGCAAAGTCTGTTGGAACCATATCCACTGTAGTAGGTGAAAATTTAAGACATCAACTTAGAATTTACCTTTTTCTTTCTTTTTCTATTTGTTGGTGCAAGAAACATCTAAGGTAACTGCTATAGTTCAAATATCAAAAACAGTGCAGTACTTGAAGTACTGAGCACTGCCCTAGCTGTGCACCCATTGAAATCAGCGGTTAGACTCCCATTGACTTCAGTCAGAGAAGAGGTAGACAACACCGAGTACTTTTCAAAAACCGTTGCTAGAATTTTGGTCTGCATTGTTTTAAGCTTGATTTCTTTGTGCATTTGGCAGCACTCTACATAGACAAAAAAGCTGGCAGGAGGGCAAAGGGCTGGGGTAAGGGCAGTGGCTAAGACCTACTTCTCGTTCACATTGTTGACTCCCCTCCCCACCACCACCACCACCTTTTTTTTTTTTTTTTTTTTTTTTTTACATGGAAGGGAGTATTGTGTTTGATGTATCACAAAAAATATGGTTAATTAATTACATTAACAACTTGTATTCATGAGGCTGTTGGGGTAGTTTATGATAGTGAAGCACAATCCCTGCCCAGTAAAGCAGCCATAAAAATGCTAATGGCTGCTGTTCTTATATCTGTTCCCTCTGTTCAGCCTCCCAAACATCGCTAAAGATCAACCAAAACACTGACATTTTGGGTATCGGAAAGCACTGCTTTCCCTTCTCATGGTCCCTAGCATTAGTGTATTTCTCGACATTTCTAGACCCCCTGTGTACAGTGCAACAAATGGATAGTCAGTGCCATACAGATGTTGTTGTGGACGTTTGTGTGCATGCTGTAGATACCCTGCTATGTCTTCACCAGAAAATGCAGTACCATGTAAGACATACCCAAGTCCAGCTCTAAACAAGCTAGCATAGATACTGGAAATAGAATAGTCATGCAAGTGTGGTGCTGTGCTTATGCTTCTGATACAAGAGTTCAAGCATCTCTGTGTGGCACAGCACTCTGCCACGTAGGTAATACATACTTTCCAGCAGTACCTACTATGTGAGGTCCATTCTGAACACTTAAGGACTGTGCTCTAAGCTGTTCAATATCTGGAGAACACACACATCTTCATTTGTCTCTTGCAGGCTAGTTAGAATGTACTACCATGTTGCACTAGTTTGAACAAGAACCATTTTAAAACACCATTCAAACCAACTCTGTAAGCAAACGTAGTGTCTTCTCCACTGTGGGCAAAGCTGAAGATTAAAACAACATTGCCCCCAGAGGTTACCTTCCCCTGCCCCCCCACCCCTCTGCCCAGCTTTAGATTGCAGAAGGATATTGTTTTGCCAGCCCTACCCAACCCTGTGCCTACTTCTGGCCTCTTATTGGTTTACATGTATATCCTGTTACATGTACATGTTTAGATCCCTTCTTTCTATTCCAGGGCTCTACTGTGGCTAGAGAAGCCAGTGACAAAGAAAAGGTATGGTGCAACTTATTCATTTACCTAGCTGTTAGCTGGTCCTAGGATAAGCATGACTGATGCAGTTCTCCCCCTTCTGTGCTTTTTCCTTCTTGGATGTTTTGGTTGTCTTCCCTCTCCACCCTTTTTTTTTCTCTTCTCCATATGTGCAGCCCTGGTAATATTGTTCTGTAGTGTGATTAAATGTCAGAGGTAAGTGTGCCAATCCTCCTTTTTCTGTCCCCTTCCCTTTACATTTTTTCTCTCCTCTACCCAACTCCCTTCATTTCTTCCCTATGAAAAACTCATTGCAAGAGACTTCAGAAAGTTGTTGGGTTTTTTTTCTTCTGCTTTCTCCTTGCACTTTTCTTGCCCCTCTGCTGTGCTGTCAATTTATGGTTAATAAATTTTGCTTGGAGGCGCAACATTGCATCCTTTCTAGCATAACTGTAACATTGAGTCAGATTTTGAATTGTGAATGCCTTAGTGGCACAGATGACATCCATGTATATGTGAAAATTGGATAATAGATGTAGCAATCCTGATGGCATACTTGTATGCATATGCAAGTAGGCCATTACACATGGGGCAGGTTCCCACTCAACATCTGTAGATACAGCCTTGTCATTTACTATTGAAAATGTTGCTCTAAATTGGCTCCCATCTCTTCATATTCTTTTTAGGTATTTCAATCTTAGGTTTGTTTTGTTTTTTAAATGAAACCCTTTGGTTCCTTTTAAAAAGGTGTTTAAAAAATTAAACTTTTTTTTTTTTACTTAAAAAATTCTTTAATTCACATGTTGATCTAGCTGCACATCTACAGTCAAATGACATGAGTGGATCAGAGCTACTGATGTGATTTGTTATAGCCCGGGGTGTTAAAGATACAGCCTGTGGGCCGGATCTAGCCAACACAACCCTATCATCCTGCCTGCATGCTACCTGTGGGTCTCGGACCAGTACCTCTGCATGCAGCATGCACCAGTCTGACTTCGTGTGCTACATGTGGTACGTGGAGCCCATGTGGCATGGGCTGCACAAAGCATGGGGGCTGGAGCTAGAACATGTGCTGCATGCAGTGCTTTGGGGTAGTGTGTGTGCTGCGTGCTATGCCTATTCAGGACCAGCCTTGCACAGCAGATCAGAGCTGGTCCAAATCGGGCCCACAGACCAGCACACAGGGCCAGTTTGACATGGGCACCACATGCAGCACACACTCCATGCTAGCGTCCATGTCATGTGGAGCAGATGCCCCAGACCAGGCCCACATGCCTCACATTTGTCAGTGGGAAGCAGAGCACGCACTGCATGTGGGACTGATACCAAACCACCCTGCATGCCAGATCCACCATGTGGGACTGGTTGCTGGGCCCAATCCAACCCACAAATTAGTCCCACACCCTTCATCTGGCCCACGGGGCTGGTTAAGTTTGACAGCCCTGCTATAGGCAAATTCATTTCACTCTGCTATGAGACTAATTAAACTGACTTCTAATCATTTATCTGTCAAAGATTAACTGTCTCTTCTGCGTGTTCAAACTTATGCTTAGAGAAGTTCCTTCTGAATTATGCTGTTGTAGGACTGCCAAGCAGTGTGAGTTTAACAGTCTTGCTTTGCTTCATCTTAGTATTCACTGGTATTTTATTTTTGGGTATAGTGCCCTCTATATCCTTTTGAGTGTGCCTACGTAAGTTACACTAATGGCCCTGATGAGTTGGTGGCAGACATGGTTAACTGACAGCAAGTAGGGCAGCTGTTTCTTGTGACTGATGGATTTTTTCTGCTTTAGACCTATGAGAAACTCTTTGCTGTTGTTTTTCTCTCCCCCCCCCCCCCCCCACCAACAATTGTTTTTCCCCCCCCCCCCCCCCCCCCCCAAAAAATGAAATTTTGGAACAGTTCAGATGCATGTGCCTTCCCACCCCTCCCGAGTATCAACCACTTACACCTCCCAAAAGTAGATATCAGGAATCATAGCAACTCCAGTTTACATTACCTCTTCTCTACTATGTGAGGTTTCTCCATACCACAGCTTGAACTGCCCTTATTCTTATGGTCTATAGTTGTAGCACAATTAGAGGTCTGTTCAAGGCTGAGGGATTATTTAGAAACGGTGGAGGGTTAACAGGTAGAGCAGCCTGAAGAGTACTGAAATATATTACTCTAAATGGTGGGGACAACATGTTACATTGTAATCTGTATTGTTAATTTAAAATCAATCACTATTAAGGATATTCAGTTTAGAGTCTAATTCAGAGTGTAGGGAGTCTCAAGAATACTGCTTGATCATCACATATGTTGTACAGAATGTGATGTATTGTGTTGATATAAGTACAGTTAATGTGCTAAGAATGGGACTCAAATTCTGAATATCGGTCAAAACCTGCTCACCTAGAAGTCTGTTATAACTCGTATTGACTTTAATAGGATCAGAGTTAAACCAGTGCTGAATGCTTTTTGAAAATGCCGCTCATAAACACTAATTTAATCTAGGATGAAATCATAGCATCTTTGAAATCGGTGACAAAAATCTTATTGATTTCAATAGCCCCAAGCTTTTTCATTTTTAAATTTTGAATGTTATTTTCTTTCTGAATTGCAATCTGAAAAATGTTACATGGATAATCTACTGGTAATGTGTGAAGGGCTGAAGTGGCATTTTTAAAAAATCACAATTGTTTGTTTTTTAGTGTTTTTTAGATCCAAGCAAACCTAGTGCTGCTAACTCAATGCTTTTGAGTAGCAGTTGCTCACAGCAAATATTTGTCATCAGGCCCTGATACCAAACATTATGAAGTTACAGATATTTTTAAAAATAGGTGCCACAAGTCAAGCAGAATGCAGGCTTTACAGAAGGAATAGTCTTTAAAGCTTTTGAAGCTTCTTTCAAAACAGTATCCAACTTTTTCAAAGTTCTTTTGAACATTGGCAAAACCTTGCTATTCATCTTGTTGAATATTTCCTTTTTTTCCCTGAACACTGGGGTCTGCCTGAATAGTGTCAGTTAAAAGGTGCAGTCATCTACCTACCTAGGTAACAGGTATTTTGTAGGCCATAATTTGTGTAAGATAATATAGTCTGCTACAGGCATTAAGATTTTACCAAAATCCAGGTAATTTTATTAATTTAAAATGTTTCCAAAAGGTTACTAGATAAAGCTCAATCTTTTAATTTCAGGGTTTTTTTCATAAAATACATTTTATGTATGTTTCTAGAAACTGTATGATAATCTGAATTGTGTCCTTGTGAGCACACAAGGGCTGACTTGAGCTCTAATCATGCAGTGACATCCAAATGAACTATGTCTGTGCACATATGTGTGTCTGCAGAAAACCCAATGAGTTCATAAGTCTACCTCTAAGCATCCTATTGTAGGTTGGGGCTTTGATGTCATGTAAAGGTTGTATTGATGTGTTTGGGAAGCCTCCATTACTCACAAGTAATAAATACATTTAAGTGCTATACAACTTACCTTCTTCCTGTTCTACTCCAGAATAGAAGACATTTTGGAAATGTTTTTTTATGATAATGAATGAACAGGGAAATAGGTGCTTTCTGAGAGGCAACTAAAAATGGCACTTTTAAACTAATTTTATTTCCTATATTTTCAAAAGTTACTTCTTTGTCAGGGGCAGTTTCAAGCCATCCTTTAAATATAGAAGTGTGTGAAAACTGTAGTTTGACAAGGAATAAGTGACCCATTTTTAGTTAGCTGTATCATAGGAGCCTCTTACATTATCAGAATATACCTATTTTCTGTATTGTTAAGAATCTTTAAGTATTTAAGTGATTCAGCCATAAACACCTGCATCCTACCTGGCATGGTAAATTAAAACCATCTCTACTGCAATAATAAACCCAATTTATAACAGTATTATTTATTTTTAGGCATCCAGTGCCATTTTATGTCACTACTGGGAAAGTACTGATTTACTTGATTCCAAGTTGAGGTTTCTTTCCCCCCATTCAACATGGGGGACAGTCCCTAGGCTTGGATTCAAATACAAGGCAAGGAGTTGGGGCATGCAGCTTCTCTACTTCCAACTCTGACCCCGATCCCAGATTAGAGCCAGTCAGAACTGCAGGAGCCACCTACCCCCTTGCCTGTCCCCCACAGCTGCTGT